AGGTGCAACGATGATGTAATTTATTAGATTGCAAGCAATCCAGCAGGAAAAAAAAGAGGGCTTTAAATGACCCGGTGCTATGATTGGTCAAATCTGGATCGAGTTTCATTGAATAAAATTTCGATGCGATGCTACGAAATTTCAGATTTGACCGATCATAGCACTGGGTCATTTTATAATCTGGATCATGTTGATCTTCTCGCGAAAGCAGCCCTAGAGACGATATTTCACAACCATCATTGGTTAGCTCGGGGCTGCTTTCGCAAGAAAATCAAAATGATCGAGATTAAAATGATCCTATGTGCTATGATCGGTCAAATCTGGAATGTCATTGAATAAAACTTCAGATTTGACCAATCATAGCACGAGGTTTTAATCCGGATCATTTTGATTTTCTTGCAAAAGCAGCCCTGGAGAAGCAGCGCCATATTACTCAAGAGCTCGTCCGTTGCGGCTGAACGTCTAGTCACGTGATTGTCCACGGAAGTCACGGAGGCGGGAAAAGACGAAGATTGAACACGGAGATCCTTTCACAGTCTTTTTATTACAAATAAATATTGACAACTGCGAGCTTATCAAAAGGAACATATATAAACACAAGATCAATTTATTAAACATAAAAGAAAATATGTCTAGTGGAGAATAGCAATACAATGTGGGGAAATAACATTAGAAATACACACATATTATTAACCGTCTCGCCGGACTGGAAGTAAATACGTTGTACACACTGACACGCACACGCACACGCACACGCACACGCACGCACGCACACACATACAAATGGTCGTTAAATAAAACGCTTATAATGCCGTAATATTTAGTTGTACAAAACGCGAAAGGCCAGAATTTATCCGGAATTATGTACAAAAAGTTTCCCCGTTTTATTAAAGTTCGAAGCTGCAAGGTTTTCTTGTTAAAAGTTGTAAGTAACCGTTACTAATAAGAATAAATGTGTTGCAAATAAAACTATTGGACTAGAGAAACGGAAACAATGTATATATGTTATAAGTATTGTTTGTTATCCCTTAGAAAAATATGTAACTTATTCAACTCCTACAAGAGCAGCAGCAGGAAGATGTTCATCTCGATAGGCCTGTGTTTTTCATCCAAGATACTCGAAATTTTGCTCGCTAACAATCTTATATTAATCACAATTAATATTATTATTCTTATATATATATTATTTGTGTAATAAATTTTATTTCGTGTAAACTTTAGCAGTGCTGCCCACGTAGGAATCGAAACATTCACACAAATCCTATCAAATTTCGCCTATAATCTTATATTTCTTATGGCACTACACGTTATCGATACATAGCTGAAAATCTAATGTTTAAACGACCTTGATAAGACATCTTTAAAAAAATATATTTTGCTCGAAACGTATTTTCCGGTAACATTTTCATATTACGCTTATTACAAGCCCATATACGTTCTATCCCTCAACAAGTTCTGTAGTTTTTTTTAAAAGCACAGGTAATTCCCCGCCCTTTCCACTTCTGTTGATGTGTCAGGCTCATCTTTGATCAAGTCAACACTAGTATCGACCTCGTTTGTTTTGTTTTCGTCCGGCGAGAGTACCGAGGCACTATCAACCTTCGTGCCATTCTCGTCTATTTCTGGTGCCGCATTTATTTCTTTCTCATCATTCTCTTCATTCTCAGCGATTACATCGTTCGACGCATCTTTCTCCTCAACAGGCGCAGCAGCCACTTGACCCTTCAACTGTTCCTCCTTCTTCGCCTCGACCTTTCCGTTCATCGCCGCATTCACTCTCCCCGCATTTCGCTTTTTTTGTTTAGGCTCCACCTCCTGTGCCTCTCCATTCTGTCTGATGTCGACTTCAGATGTTGCCGCCTCTTCTGCCTCGTCGATCTTTTCTGCAACAGCATTTTTCCCCCTGGGAGCAGCCTTTCTTGCACTTCCCTTCTTTGCAGTCTTGGCTTTTGAATTGGCTTCTTGTACAGCTGCACCTTGCTCCTTACTTCGTTTTTTGATCTTTGCCTCCTCCAGCGGTGGTTCGGGAACCTCTTTCGCAGGAGTTTTCTTAGGTCTCCTCTTTCCTATTTCCTGATAAGTCTGAGTATAAATCAAAGCATACTATTCGGGATGAAGATACTCATCAACATGATCTAAAAGATTTTTACTTTATATTTATTGAGTTGCCGAAATTTCCAAAAACCAAAGAGGATCAGGTTTCAAGTACAGTTGAAAAATGGATGTACTTCTTAAAATATGCAGATAAGACTAGTGAAGAAAAGCTGGAAGAAGTAATAGGTAGTGATATAATAATTAAAAAGGCCTATGAAGAGCTAAATAGATTCAACTGGTCAGAAGAAGAATTTATAGCTTACGAACAAGAAATAAAGCGTATTCGTGATGAACAGGCTGTCCTCGATCAAAAACTTGATGATGCTACTGAAAAAGGTAGACAAGAAGGTATTCAAATCGGACAAGAACGTGGCATCCTCATCGGTCATGAAAAAGGCAGACAAGCAGAGAAAGTTGAGGTGGCAAAGAATTCACTTAAGGCCCGCATGTCTATAGACGTTATCGCTGAAATTACCGGCCTTTCCCATGATGAAATTCAGAAGTTAAGAAATTAGCATTATCTATTTATAGATATATAAATAGATCTAGAAATAGATAATGCTAATTTCTAACTTCTGAATTTCATCATGGGTCGGCCGGTAATTTCAGCGATAACATCTATAGACATGACAGCCTTAAGTGAATTCTTTGCCACCTCAACTTTCTCTGCTTGTCTGCCTTTTTCATGACCGATGAGGATGCCACGTTCTTGTTCGATTTGAATACCTTCTTGGCTACCTTTTTCAGTAGCATCATCAAGTTTTTGAGCGAGGACAGCCTTTTCATCACGAATACGCTTTATTTCTTGTTCGTAAGCTATAAATTCTTCTTCTGACCAGTTGAATCTATTTAGCTCTTCATAGGCCTTTTTAATTTTTACATCACTACCTATTACTTTTTCCAGCTTTTCTTCACTAGTCTTATCTGTATATTTAAAGAAGTACATCCATTTTTCACCTTAACTTGAAAGCTGATTATACTGAGACTTATGTGGAAATAGGATACAATCTTCGTAAACTTCGTAAGAGCCATACCAGGAGTACCTAAAAAACATTAATAATTATACACAATTGTGAAGAAATGTTCAAGTAGTTTTTTTATTTTTTTAAGTTTTGAATGCGTTAAATGGCTGTCAGATTAGAATAGCATCCTCTACTTTAGACGTCCTTTTGTATATCTTTTTATAAGCCCCTCATAAAGTGCCTGAAAACCACGGCAAATGAATTCATAGATTCAGTAGCTATAAAGAGCTTTAAAAACAATTTTTGATGCGAAAGTCTAATAAAAATACGAGCCAAGAGCTCAATTACCTAATATCGCGAGATTAGCCTCTCACACCTTTCATAATAAAGAGCTTGAAGTTTAACGTTAACATTTTCATAGTAAATTTATGCTAACCTGTGTAAGCGTCTAACGATTCCGGGCCTAGAGAGGCCATATCGCGAAATGTACAGAGAGGAGAGGTAAACGCGAAGGAAGGGAAATTCACGATTCGGAAGAGGGGAGAGCAGGATTTAGGAACCGTGTGCGAGCGGGTTTCGAGAGAAGAGAGTCGACTAGCGAGTGTGAATTACGCGTTTTCGGAGGTGAGCGTACCAAGGAAAGCGAGCGGTATTGGAAGCGAGCGTGCTTCGAAGTATAACTCCGGTGAGCGTGCCGGGAGTCATCAGAGGAGAAAAGTGTATACGGGGTACTAATCCACGATTGAATAATAAAGACACTGTATTCGTTGAAAATCCGCAAGCTATCCCGAGCAAGAATCCTTACAGCTGTATATTTTCTCAGAAGTGGGATTATCAGTTTGTTAAGTACGAGGCAATTATTGTTCAGGCTGCTAGAGGAGCTGGTGCAAGTAAGAATTTTTTTTTTCTTACTACGGAAAATTTCGGAGGAACGAGAAGACAAGGCATCGTCGAACATTCCAAGTTTCCGAAGGACGACCTATGTATACGTATCGTCTCGACAACATCTCAGGAATCCGATAAACTCACAAGTCGGAGCAAATACGACACGACCGACAAATATTTGGTTCGCGGATACGTGGCGAGTAGTATCAATAATTTTCGAAAATGAGTCGTGTTCAACTGGAACAATTTACGGTAGACGGTCTGCGGGAGCTTGCGCGTCAACAAAATGTAGAGATGTTGGGTACACGCGCCGCATTATTGGAACGCCTCGCGGAGCATTTCGAAAGAAATGGATGGGATCAGGTAATCGTAACGGAGAATCGAGCGTCTGGCGAACAGGTGACGAACGTTCAGGAACCGCAGGGATCGCGAACTAACCCGAATGAGGGATCCAACACAGGTCTGATACGAACCGGACAGGGAGACTCTGCAAACATTCAAGACATTGTGCAAGTGGTTTTACAAGCCCTTGAAGCAAGGCAGAATCAAGCTGATGGTGGAAATAGGAGTCCAAATGAAGCAAACGAGGCATCGCCTGTACTAAGGAACGGGTGGCACGGCGCTACGTTTCAAAACTGGAATCAGGTTAAATTCACGGCGAAATTAATTCCACAATTTACAGGCAAGGAAGACGAGAATGTGATCACATGGCTGGACAGAATAAGCAGTATCGGGCGATTGTACCAGGTCGCAGATGAGGTGCTAGTGCTGGCAGCGGTTAACCAGCTGAGTGGAAGAGTGCTTGACTGGCATAATCGGCAACCGGTCGAGTCGGTGGCGACATGGGAAAATTTTAAATTTCACCTGCGGTCTTACTTCGAGCGAAAGGAAACCGTAACCATGACGCTGGCGAGAGTGAACGGCCGAATTTGGAAACCGCAATCCGAAAAGTTTGTGGATTATGCCGAGGACAAGTTAAAGCTCATGCAGTTCTTAACGCTAACGGAAAAAGAAAAGGTGGAGCTGCTAGCAGACGGCGTAAAGGATCCATCACTCCGAAGATTTGCCTTGAATTCATGGGTTAAAACCGTCCCGGAGTTTATTGAGTATATGCGCTAAGTATCGGAAGACAGCATTGTACTACGGCGACAAGGCCCGGTAATGGGATCAACAACGAATCCGGCCGACCAAAGGACGGAAATAAAATGTACATACTGCAAGAAGACCGGTCACGTGGTGAAGGATTGTCGGAAGGCAAATGCAACCTGTTTCATCTGCGGGCAAGCGGGACACTTCAGCGCGGCGTGCCCAAAAAGGAACCCGGCAGCGAAACCAACCTTGAACCTGGTGACGCAAAATCAGGCGACGGAAGCGGACAAAGCAGCGGAGGGATCCAATCCAAGGGAGGACAGCGCGACCGAGAACAGCCATGCGATTGAGCGGGAAGTACCTTTCGTAAATGTATATAGTATTTGTAATGATAACAAAGGTTTTCGCGCGTTGGTGGATACAGGGAGCCCCGTGAGTCTGATTAGAAAATCAATTTTTGAAAAATATTTTGATAGATCTAAATTGTTACCAGACGGGAAAAATCAAACCTTAAAAGGAATTAATAATGCACCGATCCGTATGTGCGGGAAAGTATATGACCAAATATGTTTCGATCAGTCAGCGAATCGGTGGTTTGACGTAGTTTTGCTCGTGGTAGAAGACGGAACAATAGCGTTTGATATGCTATTAGGTAGAAATTTCTTTTTGACATCCAAGATTAACTGGTTTATCAAAACGGGGAATTTAATTTCGAATATCCACCACCCGAGGAAATGGCCCTGGATTTCATTTACGCGATAGAAGTGGAAAGCGAAGGCGAGCAATATGATAAAATCTCGGTGGACGGGGAGCTTGATTACAAGACTCGAAGACGCGTCAATAATCTGTTTCGCGAAATTGACGGATTACAAATAGAGCCAGTTAGAGATGACCACAAAATACGGGTTCATATAAAAGACGCGTCGTTTTTTCGGTACGCTCCAAGAAGAATGTCCATGATGGAGAAAAAAGAACTAAAAGAAATTACCGACGATTTATTGAAGCGAGGCATAATAAAACCGAGTATCTCGCCGTATTGCTCGCGTGTCGTTCTTGTTCCGAAAAACGACGGAACCAAGCGTATGTGCGTAGATTTAAGACCGCTAAACCGGAGAATTTTTCCCCAAAAATATCCGTTTCCACTCATTGAAGATCAACTAGATCAATTAAACGGCAAGCGATACTATACAAAATTCGATCTTCGTGACGGATACCATCAGATAGATATTCACCCAGACGATACCAAATTTTTCGCTTTTGCTACTCCTTACGGGCAATTTGAGTATGTAAGGATGCCTTTTGGATATTCGGAAGCGGGCGCGGAATTCCAGAAACGATTAATATATGTTTTTCGGGAACTATTACAAGAAAATAAAATTATATTATACATAGATGATATTTTAGTGGCAACAAAAACTATTGACGAAAACATAGTAATTTTGCGAGAAGTGCTAATAATACTTAAAAAATACGGGTTAAAATTAAATTTGGCAAAATGCTCATTTATAAAAAGAGAGATTGAATTTTTGAGCTACTTGGTGTCTGCTGACGGTATTACGATAAACAAAAGGCACACCAAAGCAATATCCGATTTCGAATACCCAAAAAATGTAAAACAGCTACAAGGATTTTTGGGACTTACCAATTATTTTCGAAGATTTATTAAAGATTACGCATCAAAGGCAAAGCCATTGCATGAATTAACGAAAAAAGATACTGCGTTCGTTTTTGGAAAAGATCAGGAGCAAGCGTTTAATTTGTTAAAATCAGAATTAACGTCCTACCCGGTATTGCGCATTTACAATCCATTGGCTGAAACGGAGTTACACACCGACGCGAGTAAGGGTTTCGAAGCTATACTGCTCCAAAAACAGGAGTCAGGCAGTATGGGCCCGATTGCCTATTTCAGTAAGGCGACTAATGATACAGAGAAAAGATATCATAGTTTCGAGTTAGAGACATTAGCGATCGCGAAAGCATTGGAACGTTTTCATGTCTATTTACACGGGATACCGTTTCGTATAATCACGGATTGCAATGCATTGGCGTTAGCAGTGAAGAAAATAAATATAAATCCACGTATTGCACGGTGGACCCTTGCGTTTCGAGATTATCGATTTGAGTTAATACACCGGGCGGCAGAGAAAATGAATCACGTAGATTTTTTAAGTCGTAACTTCGTAACAATTAACGCAATTACAGCGGAAGACGAAGTAATGTATAAACAATTAACCGACCCAAAGCTTCGAGAAATAGCCGACCGAGTCGAATTAAAAGGTGATAAACGATTCCTATTAATCGAAGGGTTATTATTTAAGAAGAATAAAGATAAAGAATTGTTCGTGGTACCGGAAAATATGGTAAATAATATAATCCGTTTGTATCACGACGAGATAGGGCATGTAGGTATAGAGAAAACGGTACACGGTATCATGGATCATTACTGGTTTCCA